AAGGAAGATGTAAAATACCGGTAAGCCACAAGCCACGTGGCAAGGTATAGATTAATAAAAATGGATTAATTTAAGCTGTAAGAACAGTTAGCAAGAAGCCTGCCATGGCCATACAGTTTGTAACCAATATAAGTCTCTGTGTTTACTTGATCGGGATTGAGCGGCTTGGGACTGGCGGATGAGAGAGATTTGTCCTGACTGTGGGCCAGGCAGGAAAACTCTAGCAACACTCATGGGCCAGGTAGACTGGTCTGCACAACAGGGAACAGCAGGAGACTGTGTGTCAGAACAAGGTGAATAGTAAAGGACCAACAGTTGAGGTAGTTTAGTCCTCTGGCCTCCACATGGGCAACTTGGCACACATCACATGTGCCCACAGGAACACACATGCACACATTTAGGACTTCTTGATTTAGTCTATCTGGGCTCATATGCTACAGATTGGCACAGTAACTTGTCTGGTTTGGGCTTTTTAAATTTTTCTTTCTGTTTGAGAAAGGGTCTTGCTATATACCTCCACAAACCCTGCAATTTAGACTCAGAGGAACATTCTCCTTGAAGGAAGGAATCAGAGTAAATTTCTCATACTTGGACTTCTATGCAGAATTGGAAAGTTAGTAATATTTGATTTACAAATAAATGAATAACTGATATTTTGGGTCAATTGGGAAGGTTTTGTTTTTTGTTTTGTTTTGTTTGGGAGATTTATGTTTTTGTCTTAAAAATGCTAGTGTGTCATAGATTGCTCAATATTTAGGGTTAGAATTTTCCACATGCCGAATCCTTTATATTTAATTCTGTAACTGGTTTCAGAAGCAGGTAGCTTAGTAGTTTCCACATAAACTTTGTGCTCAGACATGCACAGCTGTGCATTATGACAATATTACTGGCTGCCTTTGTGACTTTAGTGGGTTATTTAGTCTCTTGGAACCTCAAAATTTTCCTCATCTGTAAAGTAGGGTTGTCTTTTTTTTTTTTTTTTAATTGTTGCTGCCTTTTAAGCCACAGATGTCCACGTCAGCAACTGCAGCTCTGCCACTACAAGCAGCAGTTAGGCCGCAAGGGTCGGAGTCGGAGGGAATTCTGTTCCCTTAGGCTCCGTCTCTTACAAAGCTACGAAGGGAACTTAACTCTCTCCCTCTAAAGAACTCCAGATTCAAAAGGTAAGGTGGAATTCTGCTCCTCAGAGAAGCTGAATAACAAGTAGCTCACCTCTTCTCCTTGCTGTGTCCTCCAAAAAGCCCTCGTGCTTCCCCTCGCCCCTCCTTAAAGACCCTTCTCCACCCGGCTCCTCCCTACCACTTCCTGTCAGCTAGTTGCTGACTCAGCCTCCTGACCACAGGTGAATTTTATTCAACCATACACATCTTTGCATCATTAAACAAATGTTCCAAAGCATAAGCAAAAGTAACACACCTTAAAATAATTTTCTACAACAGTGGGGCTAGTAATAGTACCCACCTAATGGACTTGTTGGAGACTTCAATGAGGTAACTCATGACAAAGTCCTGAGCATGAGATGAGGCATGCAGAAAAATCTAATTAAAATTTGCCTCTTCTGTACCACTCATCCCTGGAGACATGAAGGAGCCCACAGCCTGGGAGAGTTGAGAGCCACCTAAATGAATACATATAGGATAGTGAATTCTAGTGTGTGTGTGTGTGTGTGTGTGTGTGTGTGTGTGTGTGTGAGAGAGAGAGAGAGAGAGAGAGAGAGAGAGAGAGAGAGAGAGAGAGAGAGAGAGAGAACGTAAGCACATGAATGAAGGATCGGGGAAGGTACTGCAGTGTCATCTGAACTGCAAATTGAGAAGAGTTTGGTGCCTGGCTTAGAGGTGCCATGAAGATGTACTGGGGACTGGATCATGCAAATGATTTATAAGACTAGGAATTCATCCAGCTGGCATCTGGGTACATGTGGAATCTTTTGTGTTTTGTTTCTCTTTTGCAACACTTCCATGTTGAACATGGCCTTTGTGTGATTCTCTGATTAAGCAATCTCCATTATTTTCTTCTTATAAACACACTCTGTATTAGTTAGTTTCTTGTTGCTGGGATCAAATACATGACCAGGGACAACTCAAGGAATGTAGAGTTTCTTTGGGCTTACAATTCGAGGGGCTACAGAGGATGACAGAGGATACAGGGGATTACATAGAGGGGAAAGCATGGAAGCAGGGATGTTAGGTAGCTGGTCACCTTGCATCTGCAGCCCGAAGCACAGAGAGATGAATGCTAGTGTTCAGCTCACTTTCTCCTTTATATTCTGTCTGGAACTCCAGACTATGGAATGGTGTCACCCATATTCACTTCACCATCCTATCTGGAAAATTCCTCAAAGACATGCCCAGAGGTTTGTTTCCTATGTGATTATAGATCCAGTCAAATTGAGAACAATATTAATCTTTATAGACATTAAGTCCTTGAGGACAGCTAGTACATCTTGGGCCCATAAGATGACTCAGCACTCACAGTGCTGGCTGCCAAGTCTGATGATCTGAGTTCTAATCTCAGGATTCATATAATGAAAAAAAAAGACCCAACTCCTGTAAGTTGTCCTCTGATTTCCACACACATGCCATAGTGGTGCATGTTTACACACACACACACACACACACACACACACAATTAGGGTCTTTTAAAAACTTAAACCAAACAAACAGCATGACTTTTCACCAAGAGAGTACCTAGCATGTGGTAAATTTGAAGTAATGTTTGATGAATTAGTGAATGCTTTGACTCCTAGTTCTGCTGTGAGTTGGCTCTGGGATCTATCCTGTAATCTCTCTGCAACATGGTGCATGGAGTGGTCATGAAGACTGCATTATTTGATGCCCAGTGACTGCAGAACAAACACACATTAAGCAGAAGCCACTGTAGGTACTATTCATCTCTGACTGATGTTCTGTGGAGTCTAGGACACCTCTACAGACTTGTGATGGGACAGAGCCTGGGGCACCTGCCAGGAGCTTTCAAAACTCTTTGATAAAGCTGGGGTGAGACCTGGCAGCTGATAGGGAGTTTCTGTTCAGTCAGGAGAAAAGGAAACTCCCCAGACTGCTCTAGTAGTTCTGTTCCTGACTCCTCAATGGTAGTGCTGAGAGTGTCACATACTCAGTGGGATTGGTGGTGGGGGAGGCAAGGTGTCGGGGATTTTTTCATTTTTTCCTACATTCTTGGCTTCACTGTAAGACTGGGGTTTAAGGTTTCTCTCTTGTCAGTCATCCTGTGAAGAGTCACCAAGAATGAGACTTGCCTCTGAGGTTTAATTAAGTGTGTCCACATAATGAAACTGTGAGGGGAAGAGACTTTGGCTACAGACACTTCAGGCCCTTGGAGGCCTGGGACCATGGGGCATGAATTAAAGGAGTAAAAAGGAGGATTAGCTACCTATTTTTAAGTTTTTGACATGCTAGGGGTCAAGCTCAAGGCCTCATGGGTTTTTTGTTGTTGTTGTTTTTCTCCCTTCTGAGTTCTGGTTGGCCTAGAACTCATAGAGATCCACATGCCCCTGCCTCTCTAGTGCTGAGACTGAGACTAGAGAAATGTTCCATCAAACCTGTCAGGCCTCAGTATACTCTATCACTGACCTGTATCCCAGCCCCATTTTTAAACTACTGAGGAGGGAAATTTAAGGTAGTTAAAAAACAGTTGCTTTCAAGTACACACAGTAGAGATTACAGATGGCTTCCAGGCCGGACCTTCTAGTGTGTTCTTTGTTCATTGATCTCATTGCTTCACTAATTAAATCCTGAAATCACGCCCAGCATCTGTTTGGTAAATGCTCCCAGACTCCAAGGTTGCAGGTCCTACAATAAGGGGCCCCTGGGGAAGCCAGTGTAGCTCATTTGTGTTCTTTACCATTCTGGGTCTGTTGTGAAGCCCTTGTGGGCAGGTGGGTTGGAAAAGCACAAATGTGACTCAGTGAGGAGAAAGAAGGCCACAGCGATTTGTCTAAGCCACCCGCTTTTGATGGGTGATTTGTCATGGAAGCTGTGGAAACAGTTCCCTTGTAGTGAGTCAGATGCAGCCCTTGAGTCTTGAGTGATGAGGTAGCCAACATCTGGCATGACGATGACCCAGCATTAGCCAGGAATCCTTTCCCAGACTTTGGAATAAGTTCCAGAAACTGGATCCAGAAAAACTTTTCTTTCAGACAGGAGTGTGCACCGGTGGTTTCAGAGACCTCTGCTTGGAACCTCTGAGGCTTCTTGTCCATTCTTAGAAGCTAAGACACGCTCAGCTTAGTCCAGATCTACTTGCCTGGTGGGACGTGCTGGGGGGCTGCCCTTACTCACAGAGGATGTAAGTGGTCCAGAGTCCTGTGGGACACTGGTTCCACCCATGTTTGGAGGTAGAGGCAGACAGAGGGTCTAGTATTCCGTGCTGTAGGAAGACCTGTGCTGTGAGTATAGGGCCGGGTCCTTTGCTCATCTCTGTGCAGCCATTCGGTGCTCAATACACATTTGTTAAAAGAACTGGGTGTTTTGACTGAACTTCAGCTTGCAGCACAGTGTGAGCCTAAAGGGATTTAGGGAGGGCTTCCTGGAATGACATCTTAACTGAAACTTTGGAACAGGAAGAGCAGCCAGGCCACACTGTCCTATGATGGAAAAAACGACAATATACTTTTCGGAAAGTTTTTCTAGATGCTACACACTAGGATCTCACCCCTCCAACCCCCCAGCTCAGTAGTCGAGTCTTACTTCTCCCAAGAGCCCCTAAACTCTCAAGGTTAAGATCCTTCTTGAATTTTTTTGGTGGGTGAAAGGCTCAGTAGCGCCAGGCACACGGTAGATATTCAGTAAACGAAACAGTGGCCCCGTGAACTGTGGCTTCGCCTGGCAAGGTGGCAATATTTGCTCCCTAATGCCTGCCACTGTGCACTCTTATGGGAGGGATGATTCGGTTCGGCCTCTGGGGACCCATTAGATGCTTCTGCCTTAGGTTCCCGGTTGTTGGAGGCGGGCTGCTGGGGAGCGACTGAACTGCCAGGTTTAATGTTTTGAGCTAGTAACGCGAATTAGATCGGGGTAGCGGTCCAGCGTCCCCCAAACAAAACCCGGCTGCTGAGTGAGACACAACGCGGGGTGCGGGCTGGGCTGGTTTTTCTGTCGGAGGACGCGAGCGGGCGCGTTGCGCCTTTAAGGAGTTCAAGCCAAGCCTTTCGCCGAGAGCTGAGAGTGCGCAGGTGCGGGGACCTGGGGACGGAGGGCGGTGATCTGGCAACTGGACCCCGGCTTCTGTGGTCGGTCAGGTGAGCGAGGCGGGGAGGAAGGCGACGGTAGCTGAGCTCTTAGGAGAGGGATGGCAGCCTCCCACGACCTGGCTGCTTGCCCCCACTTTCCGAGGCCAAGCCCTCCACCCCAGCATCGCAAGGGTGAATGCAGCTGGGTCCGAGATACAAACCTCCCTTCCTGTTCTATTTTCCCGCTCTCTCTCTTAAGGTGCGGGGGGCGGGGGTGGGGGTGGGGTGAGGAGGTGGGATGGTGGTGGTGGAGGGGAGGCCTGGTGTTCCTAAGCCGGGTCTCTCCACTGGCTGGCTAGATGCCAACTTCCTTAAGCCCAGGGATGGAGTGAGGACTGAGTGGAATATGCATCCTATTTCTCTTCCTCCTCTGGATCCTCCGCGCTTGCACCAGCCGAGGTGCCTTACTCCTAGTGCCAGGGTGGACTTGGTCCCCCACCCCCCACTCCAGACCTGCTGCCTTCACCGCTCTAAAGCAGGGCTACAACTCGCTTTCCTGGTACCAGGGAATTGCGGCACTGTTTTATGGATTCGTAGTCTTACTGATAGAAACATTTTAAATATCGGGAACTATGCTGTTGGAGTTTGAGAGAAAACTGAGCAGGCAAGCTGTAAATCTCTGTGGCTGATGGAAGGAGGGAGATGGAGAGGAAAGTCGTACCCTTTGAGTTAGGGTCAGCAAGGCTCAGCAATGGAAATTCTGCAAGCAACTGTGTGGAAGGGCTTTGAGTATCAGGGAGTGACAGTGTTCAGAATGTCGGTGGCAAGCGTGATTAGCTTTTTGAAAGAGAGCTCAAAAAAGTGGGCAGTCTTAGTGAAGATATGTAAGCAGCTGCCTCCAGGGAGGGGCTTCTGGGGTCTATATGTACTTATCTCTTTAAGTGATAATTATTCCTACCATTACCTTAACACATCTTCAAGTATATCAGCCTTGCTAGGTGATCGATAGGCCCAGTTGGATCAACTCTTAAAGACCTCGCTTTACCGGGAGGAAATGCTTTCTTTTGGGCGGGGGGGGGGGGGGGGGGGGGGGGGGGGGGGGGGCTCAAGAAAGACAATCAGCCTCTAGTTTCCTCTCTTGCATATGGTACTTGAACTCTTAAAGAAGGGAAATTATGATGCTTTTCTTTTTGTCTTTTTCTTTTTTTTTTCATTTTAATTTTTTGTTTTTGTTCTGTTTTTCGAGATAGGGTTTCTCCGTGTATCCCTGGCTGTCCTAGAACTCTCTGTAGATCAGCCTGGCCTCAAACTCAAGAAATCTACCTGCCTCTGTAGCATGAGCTTCCTATTCTTTAAAAAAAAAAAAAAAAAAAAAAAATGCCTTGCCAGGGAGACAAGAGGTGGAGCCCAAAGCTCATGAGTCCATTGTCTAAGCCTGTCTGGCTACCTAACACTCCTAAATGACCTAGTCCCATGCCACCTCCCTTACCATGAGCAGACTTCTCTTCTTCCACTGACATCAAACCTCTGGTACCCTTTGGCAGAGTCAGGAAGCTGGTCTAACCACTCTGACAGCTAAAGCAGGCTTTAGCATCCCTGCTCACATGGACTTTCTGGTTTCCTTAGAGATGCAGATTGTATAATGCTAGCTGCTGGGCTGAGCATGTGTGAGTTACTCCCACACCCACAGACCTGTGGGGAGGCCAGATCAACCTAGTGGGCCTGGGGTGGGCTCCGGGTGGGGATCAGACTGGCTGAGGGTTTTTTGTTTTGCTTTGTTTTGTTTTTTTAAAGGCTCTAGTGGTTAAGAAAAGGAAATAGAGGAGAGTCCTGAAAAGGAAATAGAGGAGACAACCTTTACTTCACTCCCTACTCAGAAATCCCTCATGGCTGGCTGCCCCCAGCTGGTAGTTAAATATTGAATGTAATTATACTAACTAACCAAAGTAAGCAAGTACTGAGTGCCTGATTCTGTCCTAAGCCACTTAAAGAACATAACTGGCTGTACTGCCTTGATAGCCCCATAAGGTGGGTGTCCTGTTGATGCAGTTCTTAGGGGAGTGATGTGAGATGTCCAGAAATGGGCCCTTCCTGAGATACACCAAGTATGACCTCAGAGGTTCTCTGAGCCACTGATTTTTTTCTAACCCAGTTTTAATGACTTTAAAAAAAATTTTTTTTTATTTATGTCTATGGATGTTACGTCTGCATGTATGTCTGTGTACTATGTGCATGCCTCGTACCTGTTGGAGGTCAGAAGAGGATGTAAGATCTCCTGGGACTGGAGTTACAGATCTTTGTGAGCTGCCATGTGGGTGCTGGGAACTGAACCTGGGTCCTCTGCAAGAGCAGCAGTGCTCTTAACTGCTGAGCCATCTGTCCTGCCTCCATGACTAACTTCTTATAAACACTTTTATAATATAGGGAATAGAAATGTGGTACCTGTGTTTTTGGTACTGATTTATTTTTCTAAAATTAGGCTTTGTGGACTAGGGGTGGAGGAGATAGAGTATTAGAGCACTTGTCAGGAATGTGATAGGCTCTGGTTTAATCCTTGCCATAGCTAAATATGTAAATTAAGTTGTTCTGATCATCAGGGAGTCTTTAGTGATCTACAGGATAGTCTCTCTCTCTCTCTCTCTCTCTCTCTCTCTCTCTCTCTCTCTCTGTCTCTCTGTCTCTGCCTCTCCCTCCTCTGTGGAAGCCGACAGGTAGGTTGGTTTGTAAAGTAATAGTGGGCCCGTGGTTTCTGAACCGTATAACACTAAACTCCCTCACTGTAGCACAGCTGGATCACAGGGAGAAAGGTTCACGTTATATGGTGGCATATTTGCTTTTGTTCATATTGTAAAAGGTTTTCCCCACAGTGGCAGGATTGGGCCTACATCTCTACTCTACTTGCTGTGTAGCCCTGGACAGGTTACCTACTCTCTGAGCTCCAGCTTTTAGGGACTGTTCCTACATTAGAGGAAAGTATTGATCCTTTGATAAAGTAATATGCAGAGCCCATTGTGTGAGCCACCAGTATTAGGAAGAGCCATGATTGTTGACCACTAATTTGAATTACAGAAGCTATATTTAATCACAAATAAGCAGCTCACACCCTCTACTTGAAAGTGAGTTTGGGCCAAACAGAATAAACATTTTTTTTTTAACTCAGAAAGGCCTCTAAAACTTTTGTTAGCTCTAACCCATCTTCTGCCTTTGCACTAAAAATGCAAATTGGTCTTCCCTTTCTTGAGCTTTTAAAACTGATGAGCTGTGAGCTATGTGAGGGATCTGTATAGGGAGAGTGAATGTGGCCACACAGTTTGTGCAACTGGAAGTATTTACTCAATTTCATGCAAGGAGGAAAACCTGTCTTAGAGATGGTCTTGGTTCATAGACTGTGTTGCTGATACAGGCCTGTCTTGTGGGGATATGTTAGAACCAAGGATCATTTTTGGGTTTGGGAGGGGAAAAAATGATGAGTGTTTTATCCTAGTAGACTGATGAGCAGCTTAGAGAATATTCTTTACCAGTTCCTGGTTATTTTGGTGACTAGATCAGTTATTGTGCTATGACTTCAAAAAGAAGGGCAGAGACTTCTTTAAAAGTGTTTGTAAGCTGGGTGTGGCAGCACACACCTTTAATCCCAGCACTGAAGAGTCAGAGGCAGGAAGATCTCTGTGAATTTGAGGCCAGTCTGTCTACAGAGTGAGTTCCAGGACAGTTAGGGTTACACAGAAAAACCTTGTCTCGAAAAACAAGAACAAACACAAAACAAACAAAAGAATTAAATTTGCAGTATACCAAGAAGCAAGCAAGGTCTGCAAGTTGAGGGTTTTTTGTTTTTTTTTTTAAGTGGGTGGGGTACTTACTGGTATGGGTGCTGAACCTAAGGCCTTGTACATGTTAGGCAGGTGCTCTACCACTGAGCTACATGTTCACCCTTTAAAAAATGTTAAAAATTAATACTTACCTGGCAGGGGAGATACCATGATGACGAAGGTGGTTTTCCCAGGGCGAGGCTTATCCATTGCACTCCGGATGTGCTGACCCCTGCGATTTCCCCAAATGCGGGAAACTCGACTGCATAATTTGTGGTAGTGGGGGACTGCGTTCGCACTCTCCCCTGTAAATAAAAAAAAAAAAAATTAATTGCATGTTTATTTGTGCATACAAATAATGTGCATACCACAGCACACATGTGAGATCAGAAAAAACTTTGAAAAGTTGGCTCCCTTCCACCTTGTAGGTCCCAGGGATTGAGCTCAGGTTGTCAAAGTTTGGTGTCAGGCGCTTCAATACTGAACCATCTCACCAGCACACACACACCACCACCACCACCACCACCATCAGTTTTTCTTTTTAATTTTGAAACAGGGTCTCAGACAGATGGAGGCTGGCCTTGAACGTTCCTATAGTGCTGGCAGGCTTGGCCTTGGTGTTCTCCTGCCTCAGTCTCTGTTACAGCTAGAATTATAGGCTTGTACCACCAGGCCAGCGGAAAATGTTACTTTTTAATTTCTTTGAAATTGCATTTAGTTGAAATCAAAATTGACAAAGATGTTGAGTTTAGATATTTTAAGATGTAAATCTTTGTAAATTTTGATGTTCTAGGAAATGTAAGAAGGCTGTAAAACTTTATTTTTGTGACCCTGTAGAGACAGAAACACTTTCTGGGTTTCTAGTATAGTAACAATTAGCCACATATTGCCATTTTAAAAATTGGTTTAAATTAAATTTAAAATTCAGTTCCTCATATTTCAAATATGGTCAACAACTATGTGAGGCAGGGCTTCATGAACACCATGTATAACTCAATGAAACCTCAAGAAAGCTGCCTGTTGGTGGCAATAAGTTTTCTTTCTACTAAATTCTCTACAGGCTAAGAAACGGAGTACATAGAGGATGTGTCATTGTGTGGAAGGAGCATCAGAAATCTTTTTACACTTGTTTTGACTGCACCACTGGCTTTTCCACTGCCATGGGGGTGGGGGTTCCAGAAGTTTTATGCTGCATTCTATGCACACTTATAGCAGTGGTGGGAAAGGCTCCCCTGTAGCTCAGTGGTGATGTTCTTGCTT